GCAATAAATTATGCAGCACTGTATGCAGGGGTATCAAAAAGTTCCAAGGCTAGTTTTGTAACAGATGGCAGCCCAAGCATGCACACACAGTCACAGGGAGCATAAATGTTTATAAGTCAGTGTGCCAAAAGACATGATCCTGTGTACATCAGGAGCTGTGCAACTGGTACTCTTCTAACCATGTGAGTTACCACGTCTGCTCTTTCATTATGGACAGCAAGTTAGAACAAAGAGAACATGTGAACTACTGTGTGAAAGGTTTTACATGAATAAATAAAAGCTTATCATTTTATTCACCCCATCAATGGTAAATGGACTGTCTCTTCAATATAAACTGAAACATTCTGCTCAAGATCTTGAACTTCTAAAAAACAGCAGAGTTTCTGACTGAATCACCAGAAGAAAATAGAAGAAAGAAAGTCTAAAATAAAATGAAACTAATGTAGCCATCACATCTAAGAATTAGTAAGCTGCAATATAATAAGTCTTGGCTTTTTTCTGTGGGGCTGCATATATGAATATCTGTCTTTGTGCTGGAAACACTCTGCACAGTACGCTCCCAGCGCAGCGACATGGGGTCTCACTGGGAACCCAGGTCCCATACTAAGGATTGGGACCCAGAACTCGTGGTTGCGGGTCACCTGATTTCTGTGATAGCCTCTGATTGGCTATTACAGTGATCAGTCATTGTGAAGCCCACCCCTTTATTTTGTCTCTCTCTGAATGGAGGGGAGAGATATATTGTATCTCTATCTCTCTCCCTGCTGAGAGAAAAATAAACAAAAGTGTGTGTAAAAATAAATAAATGATAAAAAAAGAAATAAAAGGAAAAAATAAAGAATGCCTAGATCAAGGTTTAATCTAGGTCAGTGCCAGGGTTAGTGTTTGGGTCAAAGTGGTTTTTTTTTTTTTTTTTTTTTTAAAGCATTTTTTTAATTAGTATAAGTGTCAGTGTGTTTTAGGTAGGATAAAAAAAGCAAAATGCGCATTATTGTTTCTGGGCCATACTACGGGTACATAACATAAACATATTTGTTATCGCTGGGATTGTCAGGAGCAGGAGAATTTATTTTGGGTTGTTTTTTGGTGGTAGATTATGATAGCAAGAAATATACAGTTACATTTATAAATTTTTTTTTTTTTTTTTTGGGCCAGTTTTCCTTTGATAATAAAAAAAATCTGGAGATATCCATTACCATTTGCCATTAAATGAAAGTTACATTTTTCCCTGAAAAAAACAAGGTATAATCCACCCAGATGCACAAAGTAGATGTGATGATATGTACGGTTTTACTAACACATGTTAAAGTTGCAAAATTGTGCTTGGGCATTAACATTTGTTTTACCCTTAGGCGCGAAGGGGTTAAATATCAAAGACGTGATTGCTAATTTTTTTGTAATACACCAAGCCTCTATTGTCTCCAATGTCTTACTGACATCATGTTGTCCTGAAAAGTCATATCTTCTACCACGAGATATACTCCACCCCCTCAAAAATACTGTTTATTTTATTTTTTAAGTGAGAAAACCTAAAGTCCATAGTGTGGTTAGAAGCCTGTGACCCTATATTCAGTGTTTACTTACATAAGGATTTTAATCCCATAGTAAAAATACATAAATTAAACAGAAAAAATAAATATATTGGTTGCTTGAATATTGTAAGACTCATAAAGAATTGTTGCAGTTTCCCAGTCTGTACGTGGTGGTTGCATTCATTTTATTTTTTAGGCCCCCCCCCCCTTTATTTTCACCTGGTGATCTGACTAGTAACATACTTCCTATCTTTTATTTAAAACAGAATTTTTTTTTCCTTTTGAGATAAAGATTTTAATAAATTGAATAAAAGATGACCATTGTAAGCACCCCTGTCAGTGCTAAATGGTTTGCCTTAGGCCTCTTTCACACAAGCAGACCAATTGGGTCCGCTTGGCAGTTTGTCAGGCAGAACTGATTGGACCCTATATCCTGCTTTATGGAGCGGCACGTGTAAATGGACATGTGTCCATTTACACCCGCCTATATCCAATCCGATCTGCTAAAAACAGACGGATGAGGATCCTTTTTCCTTCCGTCTAGTGGATCTGACCAGATGGCAATAGGGTGTAAGCAAGCCTGTGAGATCTGTTTACATCTGACCTCCCATAGAGGAGAGTGGGCTGTGTCTGCTCTATAAGAAGGGGAGAATGTCACCAGCACACTGAGAATCATTAATATGGGTCCAAAAGTTTTAATGAAGGATCACATAGGTGCAACAAGGCAACGTTTCAGAGTCTCGCACGACCCCTTCATCGTGCTGCTCTGTAAGAAGAAGGGATACAGACCAGCCATCCGCCTGCTCAGTGGGGATCAGCGGACTTCTGGCGGAGTCCGTCCCAACTGATAGGGGCTTTGACCCTCTATTTCCATTATGGCCTGGTCTGTTAAAGTAACAGCAGGATCAACAGTTAACAAAAGATTTACAGGGGGACTCAGATAAACAAAAACTGCTTTGTTATGTTAGTGACAGATTGCATATATCTATATACAGTGTGTTTATATATATATATATATATATATATATATATATATATATATATATATATATATATATATAAAAACAAAGGAGTGGCCTAGCCAGTCTCCAGACCTTAATCCGATTGAAAATCTGTGGAGGGAGCTGAAAGTTCAAGTTGCCAAACGTCAGCCAACAAACCTTAAGGACTTGGAGAGGATCTGCCAAGAGGAGTGGGCCAAAATCCCTCCTGAGATGTCTGCAAACCTGGTGGCCAACTACAGGAAACGTCTGACCTCTGTGATTGCCAACAAGGGATTTGCCACCAAGTACTAAGTCATGTTTTGTGAAGGGGGGATCAAATACTTATTTCCCTCATGAACATGCAAATCAGTGCATAATTTGTTAGACATGCATTTCTTTTTAATTTGTTTTCATTCTGTCTCTCAGTATTACAATACACCTACCATTCGATTTTTAGACTGATCATTTCTTTGTGAGTGGGCAAACATTCAAAATCAGCAGGGGATCAAATACTTATTTCCTTTATATATATATATATATATATATATATATATATATATATTATATTATTACCCTTTTCCAGGTGTCTTCAGTTTGGTCCAGTGATGTCACATGTCCTGTACACCAGGGGTAGGCAACCTCAGCACTCCAGCTGTAGTAAATCTGCAAATCCCAGCACACCTCCTGTCTCTTGGAGTCATGCCGGGTTGCTGTCAAATTCTTACAATACCTCACGTGACTTGTAGCGCCACAACAACTGGAGTGCCAAGGTTGCTTACCCCTGCTTTACACCCTCTTCTTCCTCCAGTGATGGGTGGATATTAAACTCTGCAGAGAGCAGCAGCATGTGATGACTAGGCATCACTCTTTGCAGCATTTTTCTGTGGGTCCATGGCAGGAGCAGGTCCTTGATGTTTTGGGTTTAAAGGAATTGGGTTAGATGACACTGGGCATCACTCAACCCCAAAAGAGGTGCAGCGCTGAATCAGTTAGGAGGTGTATATGGCAAACAATTTTGAATTTGACATTTTAGCTAGTATATAATAAGCATTACCCCATGTCTTAATTTCTTTCTATATAATAAGGCACTTCTGCATCAATGTTCTCTCTTTATAATAGATTTAGGTGTTCTATATATTTCTTAAATGCTAAAGGGTCATCCAGACTATCACACCATTTAATAGCAGCCTTTGTGGCTCTTATGTAGGACATGTACCTGTGACAGTTTGCAAAAAGAGTCTAGAAAGCCTGAAACAAGACAAGGTTACTCATTTCTGTGGAAAATACCAGCCCTCGTCCTTGGAAGGTTAAGATAACAAGGTCATATGGAGAATTTCCAGTGTTCCTTGCATTGCGAACAGTTCACTAACATAAGCAGCTTCCTCCCTCGTACGCCACCTCAGAAAGGTCTGTTTTCTGTATGTGTCAATCACATTGCTGGTTTTCATCACTTCTCAACAGCAGCAGTTAAATTTGGTTCACATTCTAAAAAGCCATAGTTCATTATGCGGGCAGTGATCATCATAGTTGGTCCATTCTTGCCTACTACATGATGTGTGCTGTACATCCCTGGTCAAACATTCATGCTATATTCGTAAGTTTAGCAGACAGTCATGCTATTAAGACATACAGTAGCTCATTTATATAGGCTGGAGGAATAGAGTGTTATATTCCAGAACCAGATTCCAGTTGTTACTTTTCACATTGCTGTGTTCTATAGGTAAAAAAGTAGAGGAACTTTGAGTGTCCAGCACCCTCAGAGTGGGCCTTGGGGCTGGGTTTGCTTTGATTCAAAATAGGGCATGGACAATGGTTACACTAAAGGGGCCCACCTTGATCACTCCCAGTAGCACTTTGCTCTTGCAGAGCATGTATGGCATTTCTCAAGCTACTGGCACTAAAACAATACTTAATCCAGCATTCAATGGAGGATACAGCACTTCTACTCTTCAACATGTGGGTATACAGCTGTCTACATAAGGTTTGAACACTATGCAAATGTATGTAAATAATGTAGGTGTCTTATATAGCTAGTGCATTTTTCTGTAGAATTAACTACAAATATAATGTGATTGTCAACATATAATATGTGGTAATTAACTACAGACACAAGGGTCATCTGTGTTCCAAGAACATCTACAGACTGAAGTGTAAAGATGGAAATCCCATCGACCAAAAAACTGAAACACCATTTAGCATGTCTTCATGCTGTAACATTATAATACTTTGCCCATAAACTTTAAATAAAGGTTTGTAGGTAAAAAAAAAATCAACACCTCTTAAAGTGGGCATTGCAGTAAAACACAAATTCTGTGCTGTTAGTAGGAGTAAAATGCAGTATCCACATCCAAGAAATGGTAAGCTGCAGTAAATACATTTTTATTCCTGGGCTTTGTTATCCTTTTGATAATTTTATAAATTACTGTTTGAGACATGTCTTCAAGCTTTGGGTGTGTTGATGGATTATCTGCATATCTTTTTTTAGGAGGCTTTCCAGCTTGGGATCTACTGGGCAAATACGAACACAGTTCACAAATCTGTGGCGGTTAGGTTGGTTCATGACATGACTTCTCCAAAATGGAAAGACGGGGATAACAGTGAAGTGGTGTCACTGGATGAAGAAGGATTTGTTGATGCCAACATCAAACTAGGAGCATTTCCTGGACATCAAAAGGTCAGGGTATAAAATTACTTTTTACTCTAATGTGCGAATGAAAGCTTCAATCACAAAGCCCCCCTTTCTGCTTATTAATATTTGGAGGATGGAAAGATATATACCATCCCTTATTTAGTGTACATGCCCCCCTTTCACAATGATGGCAGCTATTCCTTTTGCTGGGACAGTAGTCAACAAATGAGCTATCAATTTCTTGAATAATGCCATCATTTTCTTGCCCCATTATCAGTGGATGAGTGCTACACTTGTTGGCAGGTGCAGTTAGCGTATTTGCCACTATGTGGCTCTGTTCCCAATATAGTGTGGTCAGATAGAATTATGTATTTGGATGTTAGGCTTCTTTTAGAGAAAACCTTCCTGTTGTGAAGTAATAGGTGGAGCTAGTGCCCATATAAGTGCCAGGATGGGAGCAGCCTAGTAAAATGGGGCATGGTAGCCAGAGCTATTGGATGTAGTCAGCTACTGCCAAGGGCTCTGAACAGGGCTGCAACTCTGGGTGTGGTAGTTCAACACCCATAACGGTCAGCTGATGTCACCCTGACTCTTTTACGGTCTGTTAAGGGCTCTGAGCGGGATGCAAAAGACCTTTTAGGCCAGGCTAAGAGTCCTCTGCAGTGAGTACTAGTACACCTTGGAATGAGGGGTCATCTGGGAGCGTGCCAGGCTGAGCAGAGCTTTAGGATAGGACAGTGGGAGAGACTGGTATACTAATGAGGGAACCTTGATGATACTCGGTGAAGGCAGCTGAAACATGGGGAAGCAGTCCCAAGATAGGAAGTGCAAGAGGAAGATGGCTTACAAATTATGTGCTGGCATTCCGTGCCTTAATGACGGCTACAGGCTGTCTGCTTCTGCATGTGGTGTTCTGCACTGCAAAAGCCTGTCAATATGTCAGTGTGATGTTAGATGTCACGACCATCTCTGAGAAGCTACAGTAAAGTGTGGAAAAATGATTGCATGTGTGTACATTCCTCTATTCTTGAATATTAAAGTGGTTCTAAAGGCTGAAGGTTTTTTACCTTCGCGCATTCTCTGCACGAAGGTAAAAAACCTCCAGTGTGCGGCTCCCCCCTCAGTCCTCCCTAATACTTACCTGAGCCTGATCGCGATCCAGTGCTGTGCACAAGAGTCTAGACTATACCGGGTCTCTCTCTCTCTTCATTGGCTGAGACACAGCAGCGGGAGCCATTGGCTCCTTCTGCTGTCAATCACAGCCAGTGAGCCGTGCTCTCTATGTGTTATGGATATGCAGGGCCGGCTCGGGAGCAGGAAAGCAACTTGTTTTGGGGGGCACTCAGGAGGGGGGAGTGGCCAGGAGCATCAGCAGAGGACCTGAGAATAGGAGGATCAGAGCTGCTCTTAGCAAAACCATTGCACAGAGTAGGTAAGTATGACATGTTAGTTATTAAATTTTTTTAAAAATGAAGCTTTACAATCACTTTACAACACTTAGAGCTTCCTATCCATACAAAATTAATCTGCTACAACTGTTATATTTTTATAGCTGGGGAAGGGTTATAACCTCTTTATCCACAGTTGGACATTGCCCTTACCTCCTGCCATGTCTATAGGAGAGAACGTTAATGGAAATTTTACCAACTGACGGCAAGAAGAACATATATTGTGTAATATCTATATATAAATATATATATATACACATACTTTATTTTTTGAGTTGAGGGAGAATGGTTACTACCTTTGCCTAGTTTTTAGAGATAAGACAAAATTAAAATTTGATGCAGAAATGGGAAAAGTGTGTAAACTTTTTGGAAGCTTGGGAGAGGTGGGGAGAAATAGAGAATAATTAAATAATTCTGATACACAAAACCTCAAAACTATTCCAAATTGACAGGTGTGCAGTAAAGGACACACATGTTCAGCCAGAAAATTTGGTTAGCCAAAAGAGCATCTTGAGGGTTCTTGTTTTGTCCTCTGTGAGAGTGTGAATAGGTCCTTTGTTGCAGAGAGAAAATCTCAAATGTTACATTTTATATTAAAGTCTACTTCTTAAAGTGCCCATATGAACATTTATGCAATTTGAAAACCAATGATATTTAAATAAAAATTATATTAATCCCTAGGGCAAAGCCATTTCCTTTTTCCTCTCTTCATTTCCGACCTTGCCTCTTCTTTTATATTTTGGAAATATTTTTTCTCTTATGTTTTTACTAGTGCAATTTTCGAAACTTAGTACCATTGGTGTTGTACACCTGCATTCCTGAAACGTGGAACAACTCCATAAGTAAATGGTGCATGCTGTCCTAGTTTTGTATTTCTTTTCATAGGGCACAATATAGCGGAATCCATCATTTCCATTTCTTCAGTTACTTTTCATATGAAAATTAAATTAGTATCATAAATTAATAATGCACCTATAAATTTGAATTGGCAAGCAGCAACACATCATATAGAGGCCACAGAAAACAATTTGAGGTTTATAGACTGAATTAAATGTAATTATGGTTTATTGCAAAATTAGACAGCATTCTCTGCATTACCGTTAATAGTTAAAAAATTATCCAAAATCTGAAATATAGTTTAATGAGTTTCATTGAGGGGTTTCTTGTTTTATGGGCAAGCTAGGGCAGAACTAGCACATAGTAAGGTTTCATGTTTTTAAGTCTTAAAGGATATATTGAATATCTTAACTAGGAAAGCCCATAGGGTTTTTAGATGTATGAACACTACCGTTGGCCAAAACTTGTTTTAAGGAGGAAGACTTTTTTTAAGACTTGTTACTCAAAGCTATTAGCCTAATTTTATATAAGTCGATCTGTTAAATCAAGATATGATAAAGGAGAATGTCATATATTTTGTGAAGAATCTGGAATTCTTGGCTGATCACATGACTGAATGTGAATGTTGAGGCAAAGCCACACTGTCATTGGCTTTGCTAGAATTATGATCCTTGACAGAGACAAACAACAAAAGACAGGGCATTACACATGGCAGGGTGATCCCAGAGCACTGGATTCTTCACTAATGGTATTTCACATTATTCTGTTACACAGTTGATCATGCAGTTTAAAGTTACTTTTTCAGTCACAGCTGCCATTTTAAAAGGTGAGACATGGCAGCCTACATATTAATTTCAGTACTGGATTTCTTTAAAGTGACCCTGTCATAAGTGAAGTAAGGGGCTGTCATTGGTGTTTTCTTAAAAGAAAAATGCTAGCTGCCCCGCTGTGTCTGACTTTAGTACTTTTGAGGCACAGAGCCAGAATATGCATGCTGAAAATGTGTCAGAGAGTGTCACAATATAATCCTGACAGTATTAGGCCAAGGTATCTACATGACAGGCAGGGACAAACATTCACAAAATGAGTGGTTAGCTATGGTAGCCACCATTCAGGGACAGATTGGGACCTTTTGGCCTACTGGAGATAGGTCTGGTTGCCCAAATCCCAAAAATTCAACAGTAACAGTCCAAAGAAAACGTAGAAAAATAAAATAAAACAAATGTCACTGTAAAAATACAAACTTACCCTACTGGACAATGTCAGTCAGTAGATCAGCAGATGGTGTCAGTAGGGCAGTGGACGGTGTCAGCAGTTTTAATTTTTTTTTACAATATTTTTACAATTTTATTTTGGAGCCCTGATGAAGGGGGAGCACGCAGGGGGCCAGGCAGCAGAAAAAAAGAGGAACAAGGACAGAAGGGGCAGTGAGGGAAACACTTACTAGAACTGATCTCCTGGATCAGAAGCTGTACGCTGGTGGGAGGGAAAGGAGATGCTGGCTTTCAGCTGCTGCAGGAGGAAAATAAAGGGGATCAATGTAAGACAGGTATTTTAAAAATCTTAATTCCCAGGAAGTGGCTTGGAATTTGGATTTTACTGCCCTACCCTGGGGCCCTAAGGTGGCTGCCTAAGCACCCAAATACTTGTCCATAGGAGGGAAGGGGGGGCAGAGGACACTGCTGTGGGGGTAGCCCTGCCAATAGCAGTGTCCTCTGCCTCCTGCACATTACCTCCCCCTCACAGTAGTGTCCTCTGCCCCCCCCCTCATAGCAGTGTCCTCTGCCACCCTTCACATCACCCCCTGCACCCCCCTCCCTCCCATAGCAGTGTCCCAAGCAGTATCCTACCTGTGTACATAGAGGAGAGAGTGAAAGGCAGCACAGTTCTGGACGAAGGTCGGGAGCAGAAGCTGCCAGAGTACCAATAACCTTGGAAAGTTAATTTGACCAGCTCCTCCTCCTGCCCTCTTTCCTGAGCTGTGCCGCCTCTTCTCTCTCCACTGTGCACTGAGGATGATAGCAGCGGAGGAGGCTGGGGGGGAGTGCAGCACCTAAAAGACGGGGATCGGTGGCACAGGAACCTGTTCGCTCTCTACCTGCCACCTGCTCAACAGGTTTCCGACCCCCATACTAGACAAAGGATCTTTGCCACAAATGGGTATGTGTAAAGTAATCCTGCAGATGTAAAAAGCATATCAAAGGTGAAGCAAAGGAATATTGACTATGAAATGACAGATTCTGCAAATGTGAAAATCACATCTTGGCATGACAATAAAGAATCTGCAGGCATAGAAGGCATAACAGAGCAATACATTTCAAATTTGCACAGATGAGGGGCTTGAACAAGGCATGTCTGCACATAGGATAACAGTTGTTGGAGGCATATCTGAACATGAAGTAGGCTTGTAACATTCTAAATGGGTCACTCTCATGTCTCCTTCTATCAACACCTATAGTTTCCTCTAACCATGCTTGCTTGAGAAACTAGGTCACTGACAAAAAAAACTTGACATACAGGTGAAACTCGAAAAATTAGAATATCGTGCAAAAGTTCATTTATTTCAGTAATGCAACTTAAAAGGTGAAATTAATATATGAGATAGACTCATTACATGCAAAGCAAGATAGTTCAAGCTGTGATTTGTCATAATTGTGATGATTATGGCTTACAGCTCATGAAAACCCCAAATCCACAATCTCAGAAAATTAGAATATTGTGAAAAGGTGCAATATTCTAGGCTCAAAGTGTCCCACTCTAATCAGCTAATTAATCCATAAAACCTGCAAAGGGTTCCAGAGGCTTTAACCAGGAATCACAATCATGGGAAAGACTGCTGACCTGACAGTTGTGCAGAAAACCATCATTGACACCCTCCATAAGGAGGGAAAGCCTCAAAAGGTAATTGCAAAAGAAGTTGGATGTTCCCAAAGTGCTGTATCAAAGCACATTAATAGAAAGTTATGTGGAAGGGAAAAGTGTGGAAGAAAAAGGTGCACAAGCAGCAGGGATGACCGCAGCCTGGAGAGGATTGTCAGGAAAAGGCCATTCAAAAGTGTTGGGGACTTTTACAAGGAGTGGACTGAGGCTGGCGTCAGTGCATCAAGAGCCACAACACACAGACGGATCCTGGACATGGGCTTCAAATGTCGTATTCCTCTTGTCAAGCCGCTCCTGAATAACAAACAACGTCAGAAGCGTCTTACCTGGGCTAAAGAAAAACAGACCTGGTCTGTTGCTCAGTGGTCCAAAGTCCTCTTTTCTGATGAGAGCAACTTTTGCATCTCATTTGGAAACCAAGGACCCAGAGCATGGAGGAAGAATGGAGAGGCACACACTGCAAGATGCTTGAAGTCCAGTGTGAAGTTTCCACAGTCTGTGTTGATTTGGGGAGCCATGTCATCTGCTGGTGTTGGTCCACTGTCCTTCATTACGTCCAGGGTCAACGTAGCCATCTACCAGGAGATTTTGGAGCACTTCATGCTTCCTTCTGCAGACAAGCTTTATTGGGATGCTGACTTCATTTTCCAACAGGACTTGGCACCTGCCCACACTGCCAAAAGCACCAAAACCTGGTTCAATGACCGTGGGATTACTGTGCTTGATTGGCCAGCAAACTCGCCTGACCTGAATCCCATAGAGGCATTGCCAAGAGAAAGATGAGAGACATGAGACCAAACAATGCAGAAGAGCTGAAGGCCGCTATTGAAGCATCCTTGTCTTCCATAACACCTCAGCAGTTCCACAGCCTGATAGCTTCCATGCCACGCCGCATTGAGGCAGTAATTGCTGCAAAAGGGGCCCAGACCAAGTACTGAGTACATATGCATGGTTATACTTTTCAGAGGTCCGATATTGTTCTATGTACAATCCTTGTTTTATTGATTGCATGTAATATTCTAATTTTTCTGAGATTGTGGATTTGGGGTTTTCATGAGCTGTAAGCCATAATCATCACAATTATGACAAATCACGGGTTGAACTATCTTGCTTTGCATGTAATGAGTCTATCTCATATATTAGTTCCACCTTTTAAGTTGCATTACTGAAATAAATAAACTTTTGCACGATATTCAAATTTTTTCAAGTTTCACATGTACAGTATATTGTGCAGCATTTGAAATGGTAAGCCATCAGTATTGTTGGGAATTACCGGGCAGCCTGATTGACAGTTGGCTGTGACTTTTAGTGCGCAGGAGAGCCAGAGCCAGTCGCGCCATGTGGCCTCCAGTCATTGCTCTCCACTCCGAGCAGACCTAGAGCTGAGAGATTAGCGTTCATGTGCTCACTTGCTTCTCAGTCTTAGAGTCAGCATGGGAGAGATGTATCTTGACACTGATGCTGCAGAATGGAGGTGAGTTTGTAGGATTTGTTTTGTTTTTTTCATATCCCTTAAGTCTCCTTTAATTAATGTCTGTGTGGCTGTAAAAGGCTTTTAAAAAAAAATTATACAGTGCAAAACCAAGAAGGAAGGGCAGGTCGTAGCCATGTGGGAAATATCAGTTAGGACACTTGCTGAGTTATTGTAACTTGAGCTGCGTTGATAGGAATGATGTGGTTGAGGGGGGTCCCGGAGTTTGAATGCTTGGCACAGAGAGGCAGGCATGACATGACGTGACAGGTAGAACTGACATGCCCATGTATGTAGCCATGTACACGGGGCCCACCAGAGGATCGCTCAGTGCTCAGATGGGCCAGTAAGACCCTGCTTCCATTGTACTCTCGTAACAGGCTCCCTTGAAATCGTCAGCCCATGTACTACCTGAAGTGAAAACAAGTGCCTATAACACTACACTTTCCATTCTTGGGGGCAATGCTGGCTTATTGTTCTTATGACAAATCCACTTCTGCTTAACACAATACAATTGATTAGGCTCACCTGTATCACATTACTAATTCATCTTTGCTTCTTTCAGCTTTGTCAGTTTAGCATTTCTTCAATGGTTCGAAACGGAATCCAAATTTTGCAGATTGAAGACAAGACAATGATCATTAACAATACTTCGTTTAAGATTTACTACAGCCCACAGATGTGTGTTTCTCAGCAGCATTCTGATGAAGAGGTAAGAACCACATTTCCTGCTGCGGACTGCAACTCTTTCTTGAAAGATTACTGCTAATGTTATTTCTATTCCCTAGCTGTGTACGCTGTACTAAGATACCCCGAGACATCACTTGATCTTGAGCCAGTAATTGTACTGCATTGAATGCCAATCAGTCAGACTAGAGTACTCACTGCTGCTGAGTACAAAGTTTCACTCCCGAAGGGTTTTCCTAAGTTATTCTACATAAAGCAGGGTAGGACCTGCTTTGGCTTTATCAAGAGAGGATTATTAAGAGAATTTTAATTCATAGCTACCAAATAAATATGCTGTTATTTCAGTAAAATAAATCTGTTCTTTTTGGAGGCTATGGATGATAGAATCATGTTTTATTATTCATTCGTGTAGCATTGCAATGACATTAGTTTTTACATATGTGATCATTCAAGATAGTTGATATGAGGGTGAAGTTGAAGCGTATCTAAACCCAAACACAATATAATGTAATTAGGTTCATGCATTTGGTAGCTTTTTTCAGGCTATTTTACCATTATTTTCACCTGATAATCCTGCAATTAACACACTTCCTGTCCCTGGGTGGCTACATTTACTCTTCCACTAAGGGGCGGACTGACAACTCATGGGGCCCCCGGGCAATAGGGGATCCTGGGGCCCCTGTGTCCTTGCCAAAACTCAAAAAAGCCTATGAAAAAGGTACCAGGGGCATCTCATGGGGCTCCCTACTGACCCCGGGCCCTCGGGCAGTGCCCGAGTTTCCAAATGGTCAGTCCGCCCCTGCTTCCAGTATATCTATCAAGAGAAAGGTATGGACTTCAAATATATCTGCCTTTGTGTAACTCCATTAACTGTAGGCCCATTCCACCCATTTCTAAGGAGGTGCTGGTCATCAAAGCCTTTGCAAAGTGACTAGGCTGCAGGACAAAATAATACCCATAAACCTCAGTAACCTCTCTGGAATTAGAGAAAATAGAAGAATGTTTTGCTGTCTGTTCAGCTCACAAATTGACAAGGACATTTGCTAAAAATGTTCTTAGCTTGAAAATTAAAACTAAAACAGTCACCTCATCTAAGGTCTGGCAAGCTGCAATATATTGCATTTTTTTGTTTTGGGTTTAGAGAGGTGTTAGAAAAAAGCCGTATTTGAGGAATATGTGTAAAATCACACACACACACACACACGCGCGCACACACGCACAATACAGCGCCTGAGTGACCTATTATAAAGCCACTTCTCCACTGAGTTTTCTGTACTTTTCCATTACACAATAATTATGAATTATTGTAAAGGCAAACAATCCAAATACAGAGTATCAGTATTTGCATTAGACTTGTCAGGGGCTGCAGTGTTGAAGGAAATAGCAGCAAAAATGCAGATATTACCTGGCACCTTATGATGCCTTATATACTACTGGGTGCTTTTAGGGCTCATGCAAAATGCAACTTAAAAACAGAAGCTGCTTTTTCTGGCATTTGAGCTTTTATGTTTCTGCCTGTTAGGCCTCCTACACAATGCAGCTCAAATAAGCTGCTCCTACTGGCATTTGAGCTGTTTTGAACTTTCACTTTTCTCTGCCTGTCTCCCCTCTATGTTAGCCTATGTGTCCATGCACACTATAGGCAATTCCATTTATGCTGTAAACTCCTGAAAATGCCTGTAATGTGCATGGACACATAGGGGGAGTTAATAGGCAGAGAAGAGTAAAAGCTCAAAACAGCTCGAACACGTGTAGGAGAAGCCTCTTTGAGCTGCAGTGTGCATGAGGCCTTAGTCTGTGCAGGTTTAGCTCAATATACCACAAAATAATAATCGTGAAGCCTTTAGTGTGTATGAAGCAGGATTAACAGTGGATGGATAAGTGACCAGTGTCAATGCGTATGGGTCGTACATTTAAGAGCCACTGGGGAGCTATTATAGTGCTTCCAGTTAGGTAATATGCTCTATGACACGGGAGCATATTCCAGTTTTATTAAAGTCAATTTGCTCACATTAATGCCATGGCTGTGTGTTGCTGTTACATCTCTACTTCTCTCTGTTCCCAGGCTGTAGCTTAAGCATGGTGTACATATAAATTCATCACTTCCATGCCAATGCTGCAGCACTACCCCATTTTATGGTTTAGAGCCCTTTGGTATGTGTTAGAACTTTCCATGATTCTCCTGGTCCTTTTCCCAGCTGATTGGAGTACAATACTGGTTTGTATAGTACGCGCTTGTGAAAAGTCTAATTTTTTTGCCTTGATGATACACAGTACTCACTATGTCCACAATCTGCATTACACATTATAGGCTAAATTTCAGGTCACTGTAGGGTACTAGAACAGCTGCATATAGGTCATACTGCAACCTGGACAGTATCATGTTTTACCATTCATGTTAGCTATTATCTGTCCTCTGTATGCTATAACCGCAGAGGTTTTTTGGGGAAATATCTACTTTTCACCTGTTGCTTAGTCAAATACAACACAACGAGACCTCTCGGTGAACTATGTTTAAAGCCCAAGGAAAAATGATATCTTTGCATTCTGTGTCGGAAATCTGGCTGTACTTCAACAATCCAATGTTTGGCTTCAAATGTCCAACTCATAATAATAAGTCAAATCTCTGTGGAGTAAATCATCTGTTTCTTTTAATCAAGCTTATCTTTTTTTTGTCCTTTTCTCCCCCCTGCTTTTCCTCTGAAGTATGTGCCTGTACCAGACAGCACTGTGTTCAGCATCAGCCCAGCTGGGGAGCATAATGTCACCAAATCCAACACAGTTCCTTGCTGGGATCTCATCTCGGACACCAGTAATTGCACAGCAGAAACGCTTCCTCTCCAGAAGTACATTCTCCTCAGCTTTTGCCATAATGCCATGGCTGACAGCGCCGAGTGCTGGAGTCTACCCACCATCATTCGCCAGGAGTTCCCACGGCAGAGTGTGGCTGTGCCCCTAGGAGACTGCGGTGGAAATGACTTGTGCACAAAGTATGGAATCATCCATTTCTATTGATTTAGAATCTGAAATAGCAAAACAATAATGTTTTTGAGAAGCTTGTTATGAATGCAGAGGTGGACATATTACCTAAGGTTGCTAACTGGCCCTTAGTTTGTTTCTATTACAAATTTAACAAGGCACATAAATTATACCTGCAAATATATCAAGGCATTTTGCTTGTGCTTTATATTATGTCTATTAAAGGTGAACTTCAGGCAACTCCAGACACAGATATGGGAATTGTTTTTCTTACCAATGATTTGTATTTCTGTACATCCAGTTCTGAGATTTGCATAGCTCTGACATGCAGCACAGCCACCACTTAAAGGCTAACTTGAAGTTTTGGATCATGTTACATGTTACACTCATATTTAGGTAACATGACTCAACTGGGACCCCCTTCCTCCCCCAAACCAATACCCTGTGACATAATGCGGGAGTTCTTTTCCTCACAACAGCTGTCTCTTTTGAAATTTGCGTGACTATGCAGGGCTCTGTCTGCACCGCAGCATCAGACGGACTTGAAGTTCTCAATGGAACGCAAGTTCAGTGATAACTGCACTTGTAGTCCACTGGCATTTTCTGCAGCTCCCTAACTGAAAGTTTGAATCAAGCTAGAGACGTATACCTGGAGGAAGGATCTGCAGGAAACTGGCATTGTACCCTCGATACACTGATCACATTTGCAAACAAATAATGAAAGCACATTATTTTGCTGTAAATATATGTGCATTTATTTGTTTTGTAAAAGGCGGACTTTGCTTTTGGGTTAAGCTTGTAGTTAGAGTGTATCTTAAAACCAAATAGAGTAGGGAATGGTTTAAACCCCTGCCAGGTCTTTTTTGCGATTCATGGCCCGTTGGGTAGATTTCACTTAACTTCTCTTTTAGAAAACAACATGAACTTAGAGGATATTTCTTCACAGTTAGGCATATCTTCTAGACCAGGGGTAGGCAACCTGCGGCTCTCCAGCTGTTGTGGAACTACATTTCCCATGAGGCATTGCAAAAATTACAAAACTGACAGTTACAGCTATGACTTGCAGAGGCATGATGGAACTTATAGTCCTGCAACAGCTGGAGAGCCTCAGTTTGCCTACCCCTGTTCTAGACAGTTGCTATGTGATCCACAATTGCCATTAAAAGTCTTTCCTTCTATTCTTGTTTCAGTGAAAGCTTAAAATTTTTGATTGTCCCTCACTTTTAGTCCCAGTGACAATTGTCACCAGGACAAATAGAGAAAGTGAATATCCCAAGGAGGGACACAAACAGCAATAAAGACCTGACAGAAGTTCTTACCTTCCCTACTCTGTCCAAAACAAACAAAAAAGGCTTTGTCTTTAGATACACCTCAAAGAAATACAGAGGTGTGTTCTCTCCACCTGATTGGCTCCCAGTCATGCCCCTTCCACTCTGTCAGAGTGCTGCTGTATACGGGATAGCAAAAGACTGCATTATAATACATCTAATTTGTTAACAAATACCTAACTGCATCAATTTGAGGTTTTTTTTTATTTGCTAGTTCAGTTTTAAAAATCCAGTTTTAAAATTTCTAGTAGTAGTCAGTCAAAACTAGTATTCTTAGAAGAAGATCAGCAGTGGAAGCCCCTGTATTCCTCCAGGTTGAGGTTTTTTATAACTACTTTATGTGCTTTAACTGCATCTTGACAGTAGACAGAACCAGTGATGTTATTTCCTTACGTCAAGTTCACCATTTGCACGCAGTACCATGCTAGTTCCCTTAGACAGTGAACAAATGTTATTAGGATGTAATCTCTCTCTTTGGAAGGAAAGTAGAAGAAGTGAGGGTCCTCCCTCACAAAAAAATTATATAAAACAGCTAATATGGGGGATTCATGGAAACAGGTTGGTTGCCCACTCACCTAACATTTAAGGTGTAGCTCCTATGGTCAGACAGAGCTATAGAAACAAAACCAGCAGATTTCCAGATCTACCTCCCTGGCCACCCTAGAGAAACATCAGATTTATTCCACATGGATTTATGTGCATTGGTGATAAGGGCATTGGTTATTGAGTATAGGTGAGTCTGCTCTGCTCCCTATTTGTTTTAGTCACCTTTCAAGAAGGCATTTTATTTATTTATACTTGGGGGGAGTGACATTTAAATGTCTGTTTGTGTCTTAAGACAACGTTGTCTTTTTAATGGTGGTGGAGGGTTGTTTAGTATATATTTTTGTGATTATATAATTTTTGTGATTTGGCTTAATCAAGTTTTATATTTGTATAGTAAGTTTGCTATATGCTGGTTGGATTTAAGCTTTGTAGGTTCCAATAATTGGACTCTGTATACCCTCAGTTATTCTCTCTGTTGGGTTTTTGTTTCTATAGGGTCCTCCTTTACCCTGACCTTCCGATTCCCAGTATGTTTCTCCTCTAACAGAGGGAGCCCTTGCACATTTTGGCCCCTGTATAGCTGCTCATATAGTGTGTCCCTGTTTGAATTAGCTTGTTCCTGTGTAATTATTACATGGCTTAAAGAGTTCTATGTTTTTAACAAATTGAAAGATGGGACAGGAAAATATAAAAAAAAGGCAAATAGTGTGTTTGCTATATTTAGATGATTCTTCAAATATCCTGAAATATGAAACTTAAATTCCCCATCATAAAAAACAGTATTTGAACATATTCTCTTGGGCACAATGAATATTTGTTCAACTACATTATTACTGAGTTAAGCTTTAATTAAGCAAGGCACTTCAGTGCACAGGCTACATTTTCTTCAATGATGGACATGACATAAGGATACACAGAATATACCCATAACATCTATGAAATTATCTTACTGGACCAATAATGAATGCACACTGCTTACACAGAGGGCACAATGGATATTTCATGACAGGTAAGACATATTACTTACTAGGTCCATGAATTTCCTGGTTTGCCTTATATAGTCAGCAAGAAAGATGGACTTGGCTTTAATTATATATTTTCTAGTTAAGGCAATAAGGGAATATGTTTTTCTACTTGACTTTTTCCGTTGACCTTCTAGAACAACGATAAGATGGTTCCCTTACAGTTTACAGATCCACTGATAAAGATTGTTGGCCAGTTTGATGTTCTGCCATGCTGGATCAAATGTAATTAGATTTTGACGTTTTATGACGAGGCCACATGCACTGCAAATATAAACACAAAGACTGACGTAATGTGCAAGAGAGCCCATTTTGAAGTCAAACTGGATGTGCTTGTAATAGCAAAAGATCCCCTTGATTGTATATTACACTTTTTTTTTTTTTTTTTTTGAAACATGTTTATTGTAATTAAGATTGATTCCCTTTAACTAGAAGGTCAAAGCTATTAGTAAATTGACCACATCTTGTAAAAAATCATATCTGTCATTTTATCCAGTCATACAGTATGAACCAGCTGAACCTTTAACATTTAGTTTACTATTTCTTTGTCTTTGAAGGGCTGTGGTGTTGACTTATCAGGAACATCTTGGTGTGACCTATTTAACCCTTACAGAAGACCCAAGCCCTCGGGTTATTATCCGGAACAGGTGCACTGTTGCGTTACTACTAAAAGAGAATATCAAAGGTATGGATTGCCTTATGGCACACAGTTGCCTGGAATTTAATCAGTAGCTAAGTACAACTTAAAATAATCATTTTTGATAAGTCTACTCTTTACAAAGAAAACTTGCCTAGTTGTTGACCTGTAAGCTGTTATTAATGTTTTAATAGATATATTGAGTCATTAAAGCATTGGTCCTTCCAAAACTGATATTTAAATTATGGATGAGTACTGGTGGGCTGAATGACTTGCTGTTCCTTTATATCTTCATATCTTTTTTCTCTTTTTCTATGTTTCTTTCTTGATCATTGAGTGGCATTAGATTCTAAAGCAATTGGGTTCAAATGCCATCTACAGGATGATTTGGACACAAAAAAAACAGTGCCCAGCCAGTATAACTCCTCCCACTCCCAGCATGCTTAGTATCCTAAAAAGATGGACATCTTTTTGCTGCAGAGTTTACCTATTTAACTAGACATTTTTTTTCCATTTTTAAGATTCATTTGTTCTTCAATCAACTTTTCCCTCTTGGGTTGCTTGAGTTGGTCTTTACGCAGCGATCCGGATCAGCATATCTTCAGCAATAGCTTTGAAAGCCATACCCTGACTCCACTGGACTGGATGATTGTAGAGCTAGCTTGGAATGTGTCCTTAGGGCACTGGGCTGTACACTGTTCCATATTTCAGACCTGAGTGTGATTTGTTAGCCAACAGATCCCTTTCCAGGTCCAGAGCTGTAGCACAGCCTCTGGTATATAGATTGAGCACCAGGAGCTTCCTAACTATCAGGACCATTTGGACAGCCTTATTATTCCCATTTTCCATTGGTTTACCACGTGCTTAGTTTAGGGAAATGTCACAAACTTCTGTTCCCACCATTCAGCATGAGGTAACAGCATCATGCTACTGCTCCTAGTCATGAGTGGCATAGGGATTTACTTTAGTTAGTCTTTACTGTTCACCTGCTGTGACCTGGTCACCTCCAGCCGTATGCACCTCTTCTTTTACCAGAAGCCGATTCATGAGATCCCAAGGTTTAGCCTGGTACCCTGAGCTATGTTGCCTTGCAGTCAACATGTTGGAGACACAGAGAGCAGTCCCACTATAATGGGTGCCTCTTGCTTACTTTCCATTAACAGCTCTGGTACTGCCTCCAGCGCCTCTTCTCAAGCACCCGTAGCTAACGCCTGGAAATTTGTGCTCTGCTTGAGTTCATGGTGTCTTTATTAGCTCTGTCAGGTGTGCCCCCCTCTGTTTTCTCCCTGGACAATTTCTTAACAGTTATGATTCCATAGCAACCCTGACTGCAGATTCTGCACCCATGCCTTCTCCTGTAGAGTCTGTATTTGACCTGACCTCTGAGCCTTCTGCCACAGGTATTCTCCAGTGAAGAATGTCTAAAATCAAGCAGCTGCCAAAACTCCCAGGCTTAAAGAGATTGTTTCAGCTTTTATTGATGGTAAGCACACTGATTTAAAATTGGAAGAGCAACCTGTAGCTTCTACCAATGCAGCTACCTGTCTAGGCTTTCTTAGAGGTCCTACTTTTAGGGCCTTTCCCATGCACCTGCTAGTCCTAGATGTCCTTTACAGGGACTGGGAAATTCCTGATAAGCTTTTCACTCCTCCAATATGTGTGGCGGCTCCTTACTCATTTGGAGATTCTTTTATTAGGAAGTTGGCTGTGGAACCTGCAATATTTCATCTTAATAAAGTGCTCTTTAAGAGTCAGTATTTCTTCAGTGCTGCCTTGGAGACCCTCATCAAAAATGTCACTGGGTGTAAGACTACTGTTAGCTTGTGCTATGCAGATTTATCTTACATTACATTAAAGAAACTGATTCTCTTTTTGTCATTTCTGATGGGTCCTTGCAAAGGGGAACTGTCTTCTCATGCCACCATTTTTTAGTGGCTCAGACAGATCATCCTTCAAATTTTATGGTCTAAAGGATTGGGTTCCACCCTTTCCTGTCAAGGCATGCTCTGCTAGATCTCTGAGTGCCTTTTGGGCTTTTTGGCATCAAGCAACTGTTTTACAGATTTGCAAGGCTGCCACCTGGTCCTCTAAGTTCTTCCAGGTGAATGTTCATTCCTCATCCTCCAGTATTGTTTTGCTACAAAGCTGAGGTATGGTAAGAGTGGGAGGAGATATACTGGCTGGTCATATTTTTTGCCAGTGTCCAAATAATAAAATACTTTCAATGGTATAATTAACAGACTAACAGACCAAATGAGAGCATGATTGTCTATATTTTTAAAGTGACACTAAACAATATCCCTATTCTTCAAAATGATCCATATACATCCACTACTTAATGGCCCTGTAATTAAGTATTCATTAAATTGTTTCTTACCGCATTCTTCTGCCTTCTTGTAATTTCCTCAATGAGCTCCCAAACCTCTCCTTTTTTCTCACTTCCGTTTGTTTGGCACATTAGTTGTGTACCATCTCTAAACGCACAACATGTCGGAACTTGAAGCAGATGGGCAACAGCAAAACTGGACAATAGATGACTGGAAAAATGTTGCCTGGTCTGATGGGTATCGATTTTAGCTGCCACATTCAGATGGTAGGGTCAGAATTGTGTGCAAACAACATGAAAACATGGATCCATCCTACCTTGTATCAATGATTCAGGCTTATGGTGGTAGTGTAATGGTGTGGGGGGGATATTTTATTGGCACTAGTAAGGTGTAATTAATAAAGTGGCCGGTTAGTGTGTGGTGAGGCCATGGAGAATGAACATGGCCACGCTTTACTAGGAAATCAGATAACGGCAGCAAAGTAAATTACTTTGGAGATCTGAAGGAGGCTGAGAACAATAGCAGGTACCTTAAGAATACTGTATGTGTACTTGAGTTGATTTTTTTTTAAACCATAGTTAATGTCTCTTTTTGAGTTCTCTTCCTCTTTGCTCCTCTTCTGCTGCAAACCCATGCCTTTATAGGATGACTGATGACCAAAGATCTTAATGAGAGACCAATATTTTTGCAGATACACCAAAGTTTGAAGTTTATTGCAGAAAAATCCCAGCAGAATGTTCAGTTCATCACGAAATGTATCATCAGCTTTCCAGCTTTCCAGACTGCAAAACCAAGGATTCCCTCCCTGGCATCTACCTGAAAGTGCTATCATGTGAAGAGACAACAGCAGAATGGAGTGACCTGATTGATATTAACAGCCAAGGCACGCAGGTATCACCAAAACGTTGGAGTTACTTTGGTGGAGAGTGTAATGCAAACACACTGTCAGCGACATGTTCTTATAAGATTCCTATAATTTTACATTACAGACATTGCTGTAAGACAAGCAAGGCACTTTTGTTTGGATTTGTGTAAGCTGGGGGAGAACAGGGAGCTCAGGCTTGGGGAGAGCTTCCCTTTAGGATCTGAAAGATTAAAGTCAAAATTGGACAGATAGTGTACCCAGTGAGTGACTAAACCTAACTCTGTTACCTCAAAACTATATTTTATCACTAACAGTCAAGTTCTCCTTTTCAGTTTTTTTAATGATAGATGGTTACGATTTTAAGATACCTAACATTCTCCAATGTGTGTTAGAGACTCCGTTATTAAATATCACCACGTGTGTTCCTCAAGTACTTCTGCTGCTATAGATAGGGTTCCTGCTGTTGTTGCTGGACTTTAAAGCAACTCTGTCACTATTGTAAACCTCCCTGTAAAGAAAATGCCTAATACTCACCTATCCCAGCACTGATAGTGCAAATCTGTACTGCCTTGAGGTAATAATTTGGTAAGGGCCCTCCAGCATGTAGCTGACTTCCGGGTGTGTCAGATACCTGGCCCCCCACTGTGCTTAGTGGTTTATTGTACTGAACCTTTGGTCATTACTGTGCCCTATTGCGACCTAGGGGTTGGCAGATGAAAAAGAAAAGTATAGCCGGTGACACAAGAATCTGACACCCCAGGAAGTGTCGGATGCTGATTTTTCATCAAGATTATGTACACAAAACAGTGGAGTTTGGTAGGACAGACAGAAGGACAAATAAGTAATAGGCATTTTCTTTATAGGGAGCACTTTGTTTTACCTTTTAAAAATCTCAAGAAAGTAGCTTTTGTTCTTTTAATATTGTGGAGAATGTAATAGGGGGAAAAGTTACTTTTAGGAAGAAAAATTAGACTACAAGGAAAGTGGGAACAGAGGTGGGATCAGTGGTGAAAAATCTAGTGCAGCTATGCATAGAAACCAATCACTTTCCAGGTTTTATTGTCAAAGCTTAATTTAACAATCTGAAGTTAGAAGCTGATTGGCTACAGTGCAGAGCTGCACCAGATTCTGAGTGTGCCAGTTTTAGTAAATCTCCCTCTGGATGTCTTTTACACTGCAGACTCCACTATTTGGGGAATACCGGTACATTTTACGCCATGTTTCTGTGAAGTAGGTAATTTCATCATGGAATTATAGAAAATGCTATATACTGAAATGCTCCTAAAATCGCTTCCAGTATGTTTTATTCTACATAGCAATGTCAGGCAACAGGTCAAATTAATCAGCGAATTTCTATAACTGCCTAGGAAACACTACAACTATGCTAAAGACTTCACTTTTGTTTTTAAAAAATAATATTGTAATGAGCCTAGCGAATTTATTAATCAGCAGTATAGCAGTATACATTTTTTCCATATAAACAAAAAGTTTGCCATGGTCAGAGAAACCTAACACTGTTGCTAAAATAAAAAATAAATAAAGGTAATCGCTAAATCATCACTAAATGAGCATCCACGCTCTTATGAAGGAACGAGGTGAAGCTCCTATGAAGGAACGAGGTGAAGTTCCTATGAAGGAACGAGGTGAAGTTCCTATGAAGGAACGAGGTGAAGTTCCTATGAAGGAACGAGGTGAAGCTCCTATGAAGGAACGAGGTGAAGCTCCTATGAAGGAACGAGGTGAAGCTCCTATGAAAGAACTCCACTTAGTTCTGATTTACACATGTGTGGTGTGGATTGAAGCTCAGGTTTCACAGCTAATTCAGCCAGTTCAGGTCAGGTTTACATCAGGTTCAGGACTGGATCAGCTCAGGATTTTATCCTGTTCACACGTCAGGTTTAGAAATGGTTTCCATAGAAGTCAATAGCCTGTAATCTGCACTTGAACCGGACTTCACTGCTCAGAAATCGGACAGGACTCTTTTTTTTTTTTTTTTAAACTGCACTGAATCCGCACTGGCAGTGCATCGGACATATGTAAACAATGCTATTTCACTTGTCATGTGGATTGGATGCGGTTCAAGCCTCCACCAATCTACATATATGTGAACGGGCACTTAAGTGTGTAATGCCAGAGAAGGGTGTATTGAGTTCTGTGCTGCTGAGTGTGAATGCTGCTAAATCTTCTCTGCATGTCCACCCATCGGCTACTAAGTGAGCTGGACAGAGAGGACGTGGGTGGGAGCGTGTTATTTGTGGTGCATTTCCACAGGAGTCTGGATAGTCAGATAAAGATAATGTGAGCAGCTAACGGCTTGTGTATGATAGTCTTAGCAAGTACCAAATCCAGTTACTATGTGATGCACAATCCTCATAAAGTAAACAAACAAAACTTACTTTAACTATCCTAATTGAACCAGATTTTCCTTCATTTGTCTCACACATCCCACCTCACAGACACTGCAGCTCACATTGGGAGGGCAGTGCTGAAAATACAGAAAGCAGTGGGAAGGAGTAGGTGTGGCCAGATGCGAATTAACAAGCTACTTCTTGGATAACAAGCTAGTTCTTGGATAATAAGTGTGCTAGGCACATTACAATATTGATTTTAAAAACAAAGATGCAATTGTCCTTTCAATTTGAGTAGGCTCCGTGCACATTAGTGATTTTTTAAGCTCCTATAAGCTATTATGAGCATTTGTTTTCTGCTCCTAGAAGCTGGTAGTGTTATCCTATGGGTCTATACACACTATTTTATGCTATTTACGTGTATTTTAAGTGTTTTTCAAGCTTAAGCGTTTAGGAGCAGAAAAAAAAAAATTTTTTGAAGAGTATTTTGGGAGTTTTTTTCCAGCAGAGAAAAAAACTCTGAAAGCTTTAAAACGCTCCTAACAGCTTTTTCCAGTTTTTTTTTTTCTTCATGTACTGTAAAAATGCCAATAAAATGCTAACACTCCTAAACGCTACTACAAGCAGGCACAGAAATGCTATTATCAGTGTTTTTCATCCAGCGTTTTTTTTTTCTAGAGTTATTTGAGCATATAATAAAATGCTCAAGTGGAGCCTAAGCATCCATCGCAAGGCTCTGAGGAGCTACTTAGTACTGATTCTTTCATACATCAGGCTTTAGTGAGTGTGTTTGTGAATACATATGCTGCATTACAGTTGGGTAGGCAAAAAGGGTTTTGAGATTACGATCGTTGCAGTGGACCATGGGTGGACTGACCATTTGGAAACTTAGGCACTGCCCGAGGGCCCGGGTCAGTAGGGGGCCCCATGAGATGCCCCGGTTCATTTTTCATAGACTTTTTTGAGTTTGGGCAAGGACACAGGGGCCCCATGATCCCCTATTGCCTGGGGGCCCCATGAGTTGTCAGTCCGCCCCTGCAGTGGACTGACATATTACAGCTATGTTCCCCTTATGTATCTCAAGCCTTCGTTTTCGATCTTGACTGAAGTGTACCTTTTAAGTTTAAACCCAGTCTGTATATTTTCCTACTTGGTGTTTCATTACAGTTTAAACTGTTCAAGCTGAAAATAAACAGCTTTGAAAAAGCTTTGTGATGACATAAAAGATTTCTAAATCTTTAGGCAGGGGTGTTCCCTCATAATTTGTAAATGCTGACGTGAGATCGCCATCTGTTTGTACATGTCAGGACTATACATTCCTCTTTGTTTTATCTCTCCTACATTGCTGGATATTGCAGCACAGGGGCTATTAAACAAAATAAATGTGTATTATTTGTGACATTTCAGAAGCCCGGGTTCACTTGCATACATCCATGGGGATGTAGTTGAGAAAGGCTTCTGACATCTGACTTATGCACACGAGAAAATGTTTCTGCGATGTAAAAAGTTAAACCTCCTTTTACATGTCAAGATATAGGCCTTGTTCTTTATATGCCTCTTGTATAAAATAATTCTCTTTCCAATAGGTGGTTTTTCTGACGGGCCATGGCTATGTATATGTGGATGTTGTCCAGCACTGCGGGGCCGTAATCATTACCCTAGCACCTGAAGGAAGAGCTGGGCCTGTTCTCACAAGCCTCAACAGGTATGTGTATCTGACAGCACCACCCTTAACTGTACTGCGGTGGCAATTCAATACAATTCTGAAACTCCATATGTTTGAGTGTGGAGACAGAGAATTGTGCTGTGGTATTATTACTTCTCTTTATGCCGGTTTCTGCTGATTCCTTGGTCATGCTCATGGTCCATAATCTATTGGATACCAAGGACACCAGAATTATAGTGAAGACACATAAAAGGAAGTAAGAGTACAACAAACTCTACTCTTTAAAGTGGACCTTCACCCAAAAGGGTAGATGCTGCTTTTCTGACTCCTCCCGTCCTCCTCTCCCACTTTTGAACATATTTTTCTTGGAAGGGAGCATGTGTCTAGTTTTGACAGATCCCAGCTACCAAGTTTGCCCCCCCTTCCATTTGCCCACAGCCTTCTGGGACATGTCACAGGTCTCAGAAATCTGCAGGACCATTCACAAAGTTTGCGCATGCGCAGTGTGAAGCCAGGAGTCATCACAGCCAGTTTCCGAAAGTAAACATGCCAGCGCTGGGACCCAAAGACCGGCAAAGAACCGGGCGGGGGAGGACAGCATCGGATCCCTGGGCAGTTAAGTGTCCTTTCTTGAAAAGTCAGTTTGTAGCTGCTGACTTTTAATTTTTTTTGAGGGGGTGACGGAAGATCCCCTTTAGGCTGCATTCACACCTGAGCGTTTTGTAGCGCAAAGCTCCAAAATGCTCACGGGGAAAAAAAAAATCAATATTATTCTATGAAGATGGTTCACATCTCCACTCCAAGTCACCTGGAGCAGAACGCCTGAAGCTCAAAAAAGTTTTGTAGCTACTTTTGTAGCTCAAATTGGCCAGATGTGCACATTTTTATTCCCATAGAAAAGAATAGAAATGCGCAATTGACACGCTTTTGCACATTTTAGCGTGCGTTTTGCATGATTTTCTGCACAAATGAAAAAATGTTTTTTAAAAAAAGTAATAATATATGAATAAATAACTGTAAAATAAATCAAAAATACACATATAAATAAAAAAAAATCATGATAAATAAATCATAAATAAATAAAAATGAACCGCTAACTTTAAAAAAAAGAAATAAATTATTATTATTAATAATATTAATAATAATAATAATAATAATAAAAACACCTGAGCAAAAAATACAATAATAATTATAATAATAAATTATTATTTGATTACTTTTTTAGGTAGCGGGTTAAGGTTATTGGTTAATTATTATTAATTTATTATTATTACAAAACATTATGATTATTTTAATATATTTGTGTATTTATTTTACATTTAATTATTCATTTATTATTATTATTATCATAACCCTAACAAAAAATAAATATATAGAAAACAAAGAAAAAAGAAATTAATAAATAAAATACTATAAATAAATAAGAAATATAATACTAATCCTAACCCTAACCCTAACCTAACCTTAACAATAAATTAATAATGATAATAATGAAAAAAAAAAAACAGAAAAACCTAGCAACAAGTGATGCAGTAGTCAATATTTTTCTCTATTGCCTAATAAAAAAAATGCCAAAGCTCAAAAACATCTAAAAACGCTGTATAAAAATGCACAAAACACGCAAAAATCGCTGTAAAAACACTAGGCTTAGATGTGAATGGAGCCTGAAAGTCATATTGAGGTCTCACACCTATTTATCCCTTTGTAGTCCTGTTATGATTTGTGACTGAAATGCTTTATAAAATATGTTTCTTTTTCATTCATTGAGGGGTCTTACTTCCACCTACAGGATGAATTGGACACTGGCAAATGAAAACCTATGGGCAGCTCAGTATAACCCCCTCCTACTCCCAGCTTGCCTTAGTTTTTTGCTGGTGTCTTAGGAGGATGGATGTCTTGTCTTTGCTCTAACTTTTTTTATAGCTATTTTTTCTTCAATCAGTTACTTTTTTTATTTAATCAAGTGTCCTCTACAAGCTGCCTGAGCTGGTTTCAATATGCGTCTATCTGCAAAGGCATTTCCACAGCACTATCTTTGGAGGCCGGACCACACCCTCCTGGACAATTGTGGGGCTAGTCCGGCATGTGACATTCGAGTATTGGGCTTTGCATTTGGCGCTTTTAGATCTCAGTGTACTGTGTTAGTTGGTTACAGAGCACTTTCTGGGTTCAGAGTCATGGTGCAGCCCTAGACGAGACCCTGCCTCTGCATATTCACTTAGTGAGAAGGCAGAGCACCAGGAGCTATTGTAACTCATTACTAGAGCAACTGGGCACCATTGAAAGTCCATAATTTCCATCTCTTCACTATGGAAAGGGTTGACGCTAATGGACTGATATCATCCATTCAAAGTATGGTTGGTGCTCCACACTCTTTCCCACAATTCAGCCTTCAATAGGCTCCTCCCCATTGCTGCTTCTGATGGCAATGGACACGTGTATCTATCCTTTCTTCGTTTCTGGTACCCACCTACAGTGACCTGGTCACCTCAGGCCACTTGTACCTTTCCTGCTACCAGTAGCTGGTTTGTGATCATTTAAGGCCTAGCTGTGTCAGGTGACTCCTGCTCACAAGCCACTAATGGTTCCAATGTTACTTGCAGTGCACCCACTGAAGGGCCTGACACTGACAACCTGGGGTTTTGTCTACTTTTGAGGATGAGCTTGAGAATGAGAACTGACTCATCACTTGGAATATCTGGGTCTCACTCTAGATAGTTCAAGCCAGAGTTTTCCTTGCATGAGAGTTTGTTTCTGCATGAGTGTCCTGGGTTGATAGTAGCCTTCTTCGAGGTAATCCTTATTTCTTAGATTTTGGAGGAATCTTGGCTACCAATCAACATTCTTCAACTTTGGGCAACTTGGTTGCCCTTCCAAAGCTGGATGCCCTGACTGGAAGGTCACCTGATAAGAAATCAGTTGAACAGTGCCATGGCAGTGGCGTGCATCAACCATCAGGGAATAACCAGAAGTCTCGCTGCAACAAGAGACATAGAAAGGATTCTGTCTTGGGCAGGGCTTCATGTTCCAGCCTTGTATGCCATTTACATCCACGGTGCAAACTTAATTGGCAGGTAGGCTACCTCAGCGAGCAGTGCCTGGACCCAAAAACTGTCCTTACACCCAGAGGTTTTCCCCTCAGTTTAAACTGCTTTTGGAGATCCCAAATAGTCTAAATTCCTGTGTCTTTCAATAAATGATAAAGGAAATGGAATTTTTGTTCCTTCCTTAAAATCTGTTTCTTGGAGTTTATCTAGGGACACCTGTCTCACCCCTCCATGTCTGTGATCATGCTCTTAGTACTGCTTTTACACAAAATGAAGGCATGCAGGATGTACACTTCATGGCCACAGTTTTTTTTTTTTCAGCCAATATCCTTTTGTAGGCAGTTGTATAACCCAACAGTCTCTGAATTCCTGTGTCCCTCAATGAATTCCAAAAAAAGGATTTACAATAAGTAATTTTTTTTTTCCTTTAGAGAATGCTGCTTCTAGTTCTCACACTGACATGTGCTGTCCTGGTCAGACACATTTCCTGCCTTTCTCCATAATACAAGTTTGTTACATTACTGAAAGCAGTGAATCTGATTTTGGTGTTTGTTGAACTGCCCTGTCATATCTTGATACCCCATACAACTGCTGTAACAGGAATATGGGTTTTGGACTAATAAAATAGTAATACAGGGGTGTCAAGCTCAGTCTCATCGTGGTCCACAGCAGCATTATGGTTGCCCTCAAAGGGCCAGTTGTATCTGTAAGACTAGATGTCTGGAGCACCTTACTCCCCTTGCATAAGATGTCAAGAGCCCCCCCACCATCCTTTACATCCCAGTGCACCCCCCTTACCTTGCTGCTGCTGGGAAGAAGCTGGGGTCGGGGCTGGGAAGCTGCAGGAGAGTTTTGAGGGCCATATGAAATGGCCTGGTTGGCTGGATTCAGCCCGCGGTCCTTGTGTTTGACACATATATGTGTTAATACAACAAGTCTGACTGCATAGCTATTTCTGTGACTTCAATTAGACTTTAAACCATTTGTCCAACTATGTGCTATTACATTTCTTTTCAGGCATAGGAAACAAGATTGATTTACTAACTCTCTGGAATTATGAAATTTTACTACTCACTATGATACAGTAAAATATAAGTAATGTATGCTGGAATTTTTGGGCATTGCTTGTAGAGTGCTATTAAAGGCACATTCAAGAAAGCCTTTTAAGTAGCTATGCATGCTGAAGAAATCTATTAATAATATTTGTATATTAGTATATATTTTATGTTTTTCTTTGGCAATATGTTAAAAAAGGCACAGTTGTAGCTTTCATTTGATTATAAAGTGGTTGTAAAGGCAGAAGGTATTTTACCTTACTGCATTCGCAGTCCCCTAAATACATACCTGAGCCTGATCTTGTTCCAGAGATGTGTACGAGAGCCGAGGCTCTCTTGTTCCTTAGATACAGCAGCGGGAGCCATTGGCCAGGAGTGCCCGCAGGGAAAACGGAGAAGAAGATGGGGTTGCTCTGCAAAATTGTTGCACAGAGCAGGTAAGTATGGCATGTTAGTTATTTTATTAAAAGAATAATAAAGCTTTACATTCACTTTGATGTCAACATTTTGTACAGTCAGGTTGTTTTTCATAGTCATTTGGCTCTCATATTACATTGAAGCACTGTATATGTAAACCCGAACAATCAGCTTCTATTTGCTCCCTTTTGGTTTGTTTAATGTACATTTTAAAGTATTTTGTTCTATCATTTGACAAATGTAAATAATACCTGGTGATGTTATCAGACATTCTGAGCTGTCCTTTGCACACTTTCTGTGTCGTTTCAAAGTGGCTGTTCAGCCTCCTAGTTCTTACCATAGACTACATAATGTTTAGCCTTTATGTTGTAGTGATCTGAGAATTGGATTGGTTGAGTAGTTTTGCAAAAGTTACTGGGAAGGCTGACATCACTCAACAAAAAAAAGCTGTGTGTTGTCAGCCCACAATAGGACTTGGGAACTGAGTGCATTTCTGAAAGATCAAAATATATTTTTATGTACGTGCAGATTTTATAAAACGATATAGCATAGGGAATGTGCATGCATTGCTGGGATGTGCTTTTTTTTTTTGTTTGTTTTTTTATTTTGTATTGGCGTATACTTTAAATGAATCACCCTGCTGATTACCTAATGAGTGTATACATTTATATTCCAACTATGGGTATGGGCTTAACTTCTGCTTTCTTTTGATCAGGATTCAAAACCAGAAAATCGTAGTTAGATCTTTCATTACTCAGCTCAGTGTCGGGATTTATGATGATGTTACAAACTACAAAACCTCATCTGAGCTCATCCGGCTGACACTGGATAATGTGTTCCTTCAGATGGCACCGGTCACTAGCTACCTACGACAGCCCTGCCGCGAATTGCAGGCGGACATGACCTCAGGCATGCCCACCTTTTATAGCCTGGAAGTGTACTGTGGAGATTTGCAGTTGGACAATCAGTTGTACAACAAGTCTCACTTCCACTTTCCTGTGCTGGTTTGCCAAGAGGAGAAAAGTGAATATACCAAATGGCCAAAGGCTGGAGGTTTCCACATGTCTACCAAAGAACTAGAAGAATACAAGGAAGCCTCATTCCTCAAGCTCTTTGTTACCCTTTCTGTAGAGCAAGATGTTTATGATCTGAATGAACTGAGCTTTGATTTGAAGCCTTCTCGTCTCTATGTGGAGGACACTTTTGTTTATTATATCAAAACACTATTTGACACATATCTTCCAGACAACAAAGTGCTGCAAGGCCAAGTTAAAGTTGCTGGCATTAAGCTTACTCCTTTGCTGCCGGAACAAGTCAGGCAACATGCATCAGCACTAGTCAGCCCAGTTAAACTCAGAAGACTAACAGTGCAACCTGTTAACCTGTTGGTCAGCATCCATGCGTCCCTGAAGTTGTACATTGCCTCAGATCACACACCCTTATCCTTCTCTGTGTTTGAACGTGGACCAATCTTCACCACTGCTAGGCAGCTAATACATGCCCTTGCCATGCATTATGCTGCAGGTGCCCTCTTCCGAGCAGGTGAGCATTTGTGAATAGTGACTAGACTTTGTGTGTATATATATCCTGCAAACATGTATGGCAGTGTTAATCAAAATTTGGGCATTCTTGCCCTCCTGTGCCTAGAATCTACTCAAGCTAATGCGCACATTTAGCAGTCAGCTTCATGTGTATGTGCATCAGTTTTTGTTTCTTGCAGAGCTTTCTGGCATTCTGATAATGAAACAACAGCTAGACCTTATGGCCGCTAGATATGACCTGACTATTCATTGTTAGCCTTTCAGAATAATAAATGGCCTTTCTAACCAACCATGAAATGTAGGAGGTGTTTGATGGTGGTGGAGAGATAGTGGATTTCCAGGGCACATTGCAAATATGCAGACTGATGTGCACGTATGTGAAGCAGTCTGCTGTTAAGTGTAAGCTTCTTAAAGTGTTATTAAACCCTGAGGAGTAAATCTAAATGTAGAAATGTAACTCACATTCATGCTAGTTTAGTGTCCAGCTTTTGTCTCTAGCCGTAAAAAAATACTTTCAAGTTCCAAATCATAAACTATAAACTGCCTATAGGGTGGCTTCACTTATTACAGGATCTTCTGGAGCTACCCTGACATGCTTGCTTCCAGTTAGGACCACAGATGGCTTTTATTCTAGGCCACTCCTTTGCTCCTTCTACTGGAACTTTGAAATTTGAATTCTTTTCTGATCCCCAAATGCTATCTGATCAATTCCCTTGCTTAAACTATTGCCCTGTTAGCACTTTGAATTTTGTTAGCTGCCAGAAAAGTAATCCAGTCCTTTTTTTAAAAAAAAAGACCTTACTACCTTCCAATGAGTTGTTACAATTAAGATGTTTTGTAATCTTCCTTTTTCAACTGCTGTGGTTGCCTTTCTTTTTCATTCGGTGCTGATAGCATGCTTCAAACAAATGTTTCATTCTTCTGTTCCTCTAAAATGTTTTGGAAGTATTGGAGGCTTTGTGTGCCAGCTTGATGCCACAGCACCCTATTCCTGGACCTGCAGTTACCCGTTCTCCTGGCAAGAGCTGGAGAATCCTTGTGTGATCTTCAAAGATAGTCTTTGCAGATCAAGTGAGGCCTCTCCATCTGCTGAGAGTGCTTCAGGCTGGCATACAGGACCTCCGACACTCAAAAAGTGTCAGAAGAGAGGGTAAAAGCAGCTGTATGCAGTAAAAAAATGAAAAAAAAAAGACTATCACAACTATTGAAATGAAAGTAGATCTACATAACATCTTAATCGTAATATGATGATGACAGGGTCTCTTTAAGTTCCGTTATAAAACCTGGCTTTGAGTCTATGCTGCTTCTCTGTGGTCAGGACCCTCATTTAGCCATTATTATTATTATTATACAGTATTTATATAGTGCTAAAAGGTTTGCTCAGCGCTGTACATTATAGTGGGGGACAGAACATGAGACAATACAGTAACAAAACAAAACACGAGGGGGTCAAGGGCCCTGCTCTTTCGAGCTTACAATTTAGGATAATGTACAATGTAGATTGATTCACCAGTGAACCTTTACTACCCCAGTACCCACACATTTATGTGATTAGTAGTACTCATGTGCAAGTCATGCAGCTCACAATCAAAAAAAAAAAATTTGCAAACAAATACATAGTTACGTAGTTAGTCTGGCTGAAAAAAGACAAAAGTCCATCCAGTCCAACCATAGAAAAAAAAAAGTTATAATCCTATACCCACAGTTGATCCAGAGGAAGGCAAAAAAAAACCCAGCAAAGCATGATCCAACTTGCTCCTGCTGGGAAAAAAATTCCTTCCTGATCCCTTGAGAGGCAATCGGATATTCCCTGGATCAACTTTACCTATAAATGTTAGTAACCAGTTATATTCTGTGTATCTAGGAAAGAATCCAGGCCTTTTTTGAAGCAATCCACTGAGCTGGCCAGAACCAATTCTTGAGGGAGTCTATTCCACATTGTCACAGCTCTCACTGTGTAGAAACCTTTCCATGTTTGGAGATTACATTTCTTTTCCTCCAGACGTAAAGAGTGCCCCCTTGTCCTCTGTGATGACCTCAGGGTGAATAGCTCTACACCGAGTTCACTATATGAACCACTGATGTATTTATACATTTATACACATTACTTGAGAATATAGGTACTGCTCATTTTCATTCTGACTGTAGTCCTCCTTTAATATCACATAGTGAATGCATTCTGATGCTATGTGATCATTTCCCTTTAAGCTGACAAAAAGGTAGTGTCACCTGATATAGGATCATGTACAGAGTCTTTTAATTAACATATTTGTGGAAGCCTTCTTAATCCCCAGCTAATGTCTTACGGATGAAGTGAGACGCTTGCCCTCGCTGCTATTGAGGATGGGTTAGTTCACAGATGTCAAAGTTCCCTGTGAGTGGAGCTGACCTGACAAGCATGCAGCACCCGGAGATCAATGGTGAAGAAATGTCCTTAATTAGCACAGTATTATGTTTGGTACCATCATTCAGGACCCAGTTATGGGTCACCGATCCAATTAATGTTAAACCTTGATTTTCACACACATTAATGAAATTCCATCTAAAAGCTGATTAGACCTGACAGTGTCTTAATAGTTTTCGCTTTAAACTTTTTTTTTCCCTCCCGCTTGAATTACCTTACTAGCAAGCATGACAGAGACAAGTTTGCCAGACACTAAAAGGGGTTCCCACCTTCCTACCACTTTATTTGGGTGCACGTGGAAGGACAAGCAAAACACCCTTGTGTATCTTTTTCATGGCTAAGGACCGTTACTGATTTCCTTGGAGAGGTTAAGGTTTTTATTTTACCCAGAATGTCCCTGAATTTAAATGTGGATGAATTTCTTAATAAAATACATGTTTATTTTCCTGCAATCTTACATTTGAGTTATAGGGGCATATTTATAAAGCAGAGAGTATGGCATTCATCAAGCATTCACTAGTGGTTTAATCAGTCACTATATTTTAAAAACACATTCACCAGGAATATGCCCAGTACTATTGTACTAACCCATAACTCTCAACAGTCCCATTTGAGACTAAATCCCTCTGTCCCTCGTGCAGCCTCAGTTGTCCCTCATATTGCCCTGCTGTGTACATCTCTAAATAAATTGTACTATTTTATTAATTTATACTTTTACTACAACTACTTATATAGCGCCATCAATTTACGCAGCGCTTAACATATATATTGTACATTCACATCGGTCCCTAACTCTCAAGGGGCGTACAATCTAAGGTCCCTAGCTTACATTCATACATACACATACTAGGGCCAATTTAGACATGAGCCAATTAACCTACCAGCATGTCTTTGGAGTGTGGGAGGAAACCCGAGTACCTAGAGGAAACCCACGCAGGCACAGGGAGAACATGCAAACTCCAGGCAGGTGGTGCTGTGGTTGGGATACGAACCAATGACCCTAGTACTGCCAGGCGGAAGTGCTAACCTTTTAGCCACTGTGCTGCCCAACTATTTTACTACCAACAGTGTTATGCTACACTAAACTTTTTATCCAGCCTCTATATTGTACTGCATTTGTAGATTTGAAAAGCCAATATAAAGGAAAAATAGAGGTAAAAAAACCCACTATTTTTGGTCCATCCAATCAGTTTCTGTATATTACGTCTTCGTGGTCCATGTGACCAGGGCTGAGGCAGGGACATGTCGCATTGGCTTATGTAAGACAATTTAAAGTGAACCTCTCTGGGATTTCAAAGTAAGCTAATACGGTGGAAGTGTTTTAAATTCGGCCTCTCCTTCAGCTATGACTTTGAAGTTATGTCCCTTCCTTCACCTACAAGTCAGTGTACCAGTGGTCAATAATGCGGACTAAGCAGTGCACTCGTAAGGTCTAGCGCAGCTAATCAGTCACAGCTCAGGTTGAGGCCTCTATTCAGTATGCGCTCAGGATGGGTTGCTTCCCTAGGCATGCAGTCAAAGGTTGCATTTGTGGTGCCTGCACTTCTTCAGCCGTATGGTCAGTTTAAACACTTTATGAACCCTGCCAGGTTCGCTTTAAAGGTACATTGAGCAGACTTTCTGACTTAAGCACAGTTATGATATTTCCTGGACAGAATTAGCAGTTTACAGACTGATTTTACTTGTTGCTTAGTGTTGATCCTTGATCAGAATAACTTTTCTCTAACGTCTCTCCAGTTACATTCGTAAACTTGCACAGCGCAGCTGTGTGGTTGTCATTGATCCACGGCTGGAGACCAGCGAACAGGCTCTGGCGTTTGATCCTACATCTCTAACCTATAACATTACTTTACAACATCTGTTACTGCTACTTGGTCCCTCTGTTTAGCTCAATGTATGAAGTTTCACAGGAGCATCTATGGCCATAATGAAAAAGTGTCAAAGAAACTAAAAGCCATTTGTAACCAGTGATTTTGTAGTTGAATAAAAAACAGCCGTACATTAACATATTTCTCCTTGCTGAGATCATTGCATAACGGTTTTGTCTGCTCTTCGGAAGAAAAGATCACAATGCAGAAGTCTCTGCAGGACATGGCAATGGTTAGCACTGCTGAGACAAAGCAGACATATGTGCATGCCAGTTCCTTAATGAGGCGTAATTGTCTAATACACTGGGTAAGTAGAAAGCTAAAACAGATACACTGCATTCCTCTGCTGCCTAATAGACACTTCAGCTCTTGGAACATGTGTGAAAAGCGCCTTGTGAGGGGCTGATATAACCTATAGCACAGAGATACAAGGAGTGGTGCTGACTAGTTCTTGAGCTAAGCATCCACCAGTCATATGGTTTTATCCGTCCTATGGTGACCCTGCCAAAACCAATCTGCAGCAAGGGCTGGTAGGAGATCTAATCAGCAGCAGGATGTCAGTCTTCTACACAAATGGAGATGAAATAAAACAGTTGTTTGGCAATGAAAAATGAGGGTTTCTCGGGGAAAAAACAAATTTCTTATAGCAAAGGTCTGCTCAGAGCTGG